GAGCAGATTCTCAGGGAAAGGGAGCATCCGTGCACCCAGACTCAGAGATATTAGTGGCCTACTAAGCTATTAATGTGGCCACAGTCTCAAGAGGCGAGGATGGTGAAGTTGGAGAAGTTGCAAGAAAAGCCGAAACCGCTGGATATGACGCTCAAGTTGGTAATTCAGCGGTCGTCATGAACACGGTCGCGAGAGACCTCGAGGAGCCTGAGACTCGTCCTGAGCCGGCAGAACAGACCCATCCTGACTTGAGTCCAGACGTTGAGACTCAGGATCCAGAGAGTATGGCGGATGTCGAGAGTAATGCTCAGGCCCCTGAACCGTCAGTGGATTGCCAGTCACAGACGAGCTGTTCGACACCGGTCTAAAGGCTGGAGGCAGAATATGCTCGGGTGATGCGAGTCTCCGCTGAAGAACTGGATCTAGATCCCGCTGTGTATCTCAGGGAAGGAAGTGATTTGATGGAGAGACCCGTCCTGAGCCAGCAGAACAGACACATCCTGACTTGAGTCCGGAAGTTGAGACCCTAGACCGAGAGAGTATGGCGGATGTCGAGAATAATACTCAGGTCCCTGAGCCGTCAGTGGATGTCCAGTCACAGACAAGCTGTTTGACACCAGTCCAAAGGCTGGAAGCAGAATATGCTGGGGTGATGCGAGTCTCTGCTGAAGAAGTGGACCTGGAACCTGCTGTTTACCTCAGAGAAGGAAGTGATTTGATGGCGCAATTAGAATACCAACTTATCATGCCCCCGGAAATTGAAGAACTGACCCAGCATGTAATATCGACGAAGCTAATTCCGAGTGCTCATCACCTATTGTGATTGTGCTGAAGAAAAACGGCATAGACATCCGGATGTGTATCGACTACCGACTTCTGAATTTGCTCATCAAACTATTCCGCTATCCTCTACCCCTGATTGATGATCTATAGGTAGACTTCAAATCCGCGATGTGGTTTATGAGTCTCGACATGGCGAGTGGATTCAGGGCGGTGTGAATGACTGAATGTGCGAAGTTGATCTCTGCATTCGTCTGTCCGTTCGGCCACTTGCAATGGCTCAGAATGCCGGATTGATTGATGAATGCACCGTTTATTTATCAGAGCATCATCAACAACTGTCTGTGGAGACTCGCCTGGCTACCTCCTGAAGAGGAAGCGATGGTTGACCCAGAAGATTTAGACTTCCTGGACCTCGAGCATCAAGAAACCCTGAAACTTGATGTAGATATGAGGGATTCAGAAATTCCATCGCTGGACATGACTGTATTCCGACGCAATATTCCGGCTCCATCACAAATGGGTCCGGCCTTGGGAAGCTCATATATTGACGATATCGCTCATGGGGCGTCGACTTGGGACCAACTATGTGAGGACCTGGACGCGTTGTTATACATACTACAATACTGGAATATCTCTGTAAGCTTACCGAAAAGTGAATTCGGAAAGTCTACCATCCATTCCTTTCTTCATGAAGTAAGTGCGGACGGAATCAGAGCGTTGCCGAAGATTGTCAAAGGTATAGAGGGCTTACCTTTCCCGCAAGGGGTTAAAATCTTTTTAGGAAGTCTGAATTACTACAATAAGTTTATTGAGGACTTACCAGTAGTTGCCGCTGTCCTCTACGAACTGGACGAAGAACGCGTACGTGCTGGATGGAATCTGGAAGCAGCGAAGGAGTCGTTTGAGATACTGAAACGTAAGATCGTGTCGACCCCACTGCTGCGGCATCCAGATAGAGCCAAGCCTTTCGTGATTATTCCGAATGCTAACCCGTGGGCGGCGTGTGCAGTTTTGGGTCAGGAGCACGAAGGACGCATACACCCAGTACGATTTACTGGCAGAATGTTGAAGATCAGAGCTCCGGTATCATATAGCCGAAAAGGAAGTGCTCGCAATCTTGCGGACTCTGGAAGTTTTCAGACCTCTGATCCATGGATCAGAATTCCCAGTTGTGGTGTATACGCTACGCTGTGCTAAACTGGTTACTAGAATCCAACACTGCAGACGGACGGCATTTGAAGTGGGGGCTGGAACTATCAAGATGAACACTGGAAATTCATCGGACTCAGAAATATGAGGACGGCCTTGCAGCCATCCTTGGATCCGGTATCACACCCAGGGAACATTTAGATAAAGTTGCAGAAACCCTAATCCCGCCAAGGGGCGTCTGAAAGTGATGCCACCAGTGATTGTGGAAATGTTGGAAGCGGACTATCAAGGCTACGTTCTGGGTATTGATGGCGCTGGGAAGGTTTCTACCCGCCGAGGAAGCTGCGGATGTATACTGTTGAAACTGCTGGCAAGTCGTAAAGGCTGATAGACACATCCTAGAAGGTGTGATGGTCAACGATGCTGAATACCATGGTTTGATTCTGGGACTAAAGCTCGCTATGAAGTTCGATGTCAAGGAGCTCGTGGCAGTAGGTGATTCTCGAATCGTTGTCCAACAAGCTCAGGGTCTTGCTCCCAGCCTAATTTGCAACGACGGTTGGCTGAGTATGAGGATCTCAGCAAGGATATTGTGTCTGTGAGGTTGATTCATGTTAAACGTGAATTTAACCAAGCGGCCGACTACTTGACCTCTAAGACTCTCGTGCTTGGAGAATCCTAGGAGCTCGATGACCCAGATGAGATAGTGCATCTACGTCTCGTATCCAAAATCCCTGAAAAGATCATGAAGCCTTCGGAAATCCCAGGTACCCATGCAACTGATGTGGTTTGTCCGAACCAAGTCGAACTTGGAACGGGTAATCCTGGTGCGATACCTGAGTCTTTAGCTGCCGCTGCTGAGGTACTGATGGTAATGACGAGACCCCGTGCGGAGGCTGACACAGGTTCCTGGACTCTTCTAGGCCAGTCTGGATACCAGGATGAACGTTGGAGGAGAATAAAGGCTCACCAAGACGCAGACCCATGGATTCTGCAAATGAAGAAGGTTCTAAAAGGAGATGTGGCAGACCTTCCCCGTAAACAGGTGAAGAAGATTGCTAAGGTTTCTGATCACGTTGTGTTGGATTGGCGAGAAGTCATCTACAGACTGAGTACGCCCACTCCTGAGAGGCCCCGCAACAAACAGTCAGAACCCCAGACTGGTGGTCCCAGAGACTTTACGTGCTGACATGTTACATTACTCGCACGAAGA